CATGATGTTCATTTAGTAACTGATGGTCCCATTTAGAGTAAAATAGACCATAAAGCAGGGTATGCTTTAGGGCGGGGCTACCTTATGACTGACAGGTCATTCTCAGTGAGTCCTTCCAGCTCAACGCACCAAACTCAGATCAAACTGTTAGAGATATTCTGATATTCCGATACCTGAACTTTGTCTATCTGTCAATACAATGTATTAGTCTGATACAAGTTACCTAGTTGGACAGACTAGTCATATTGCTGAGATTTAGCTAGCTCTGTCTAATTCTACACCACCGGAAATCAACTCTTCCCTGCCGCTCTAAAACAGTGGCAGCACAGGGCACATGACCCGCCCTACTCTGCCGCTGATTGACTAGTACTCATTGTACACATTGTACACCTTCGTTGGTTGTTAAGGGGTTAGGGTGAGATTATCAGGTTAAGCCAATCAGAGTCAGAGAGGGGCGGGTCATGAATTTGCACACAAAAGAATAGTGTATGGGAAACTGTTGGGAAGTAGCAGGGTCCTGTTTTGGGGCTAATATATTACCCGGTATCGGATTGGTGCACAGACACCAGTACTCACTGATTCCCAATCCAGCAGCATTTAGGCAGCATCGGAGGCATTACTGGTATTGCTATCAGAACAACTTTGCAAACTGTCAAAAAAGACAGTGCTGATCAAATATATGTAATGTGTATGTATAACCAACTGAAAATAAGAATTGTGTTTTTGTTACCTGAGCCATTTCTATCTACAGTGGGAGCAGGTTACTATAGTTTCTCCTACACACTTGGTTGAGTCAAGGAGTTTCAGATAGCCGCAATCTGCAATTTCAATGCAGGATGCCACTAAATCCTACACACTGGTCCTTTAAGCTGATGAAAACACTTCCCAGTAAGCCAATTTAGGTGATTTCAAAGGAAACACATATCTTGATAAAAGCTGTACAAAAGCAGTCAAAATAATTTTTTGTTGATACCAGCTCTCTACATTTCATGCCCTGAAGAATAATAGAGAGAGCCCATGGGAGCAGATTAATTCATGTACCAGAGTTAGACAGTAGACTGAAAAAAAAGAAAATATAAAGATGCTTTGGGTTGTAAACTTGAAGACTGTTGATTGTTGAGTCTCATTCCCAGCATTGGTATTTGACGCCTTGGGAATGAGACTCAACAATCATTTATCTTTCTTGATGCCAGCACTACTGTACATGAAAAATCATATACCAACACAGTAATGGCTGCTTTACAGTGTACAAACTGGCCTGTTGTTAAGTAGGAAAATACATGAATGTCTGTAATATCAAAATATACAACATTTGAAGTAAAAAAGAGTTTGGTTACTATTTAATCAGCTTGAGTCACAACAAAATCCCTGTTTTCAGTGCCGACTGGTTTCCAGTGTCTGTCCAGTCAGTGCACAAGTTGAAGTATTATGGTTTTCATTCTCTGCAGTGCAAAGCTGTCATATCTCATCCTGGCATATGCGACAGGACACTCACCCTTATCAAATCAAGCCAGAGGTTGCAACCTTTCTATGCACTTGTCAGCAGCTGAAGAGCAGCTGTCGCCTGCAAGAGTCACTGTCACTATCCAGCAGTCAATCCGGCAGCACTGTTTCTGTACACTGCGCCCTCGCTACGTTCTGTGTGACCAAGATTAATTGCTGCTGCTGTATTGTGTAGTTCTGTTGTTCTGGTTCACTGTACCAACACTGCTTTTCTGTCTGGAGTGGACACAATCATTTTGTACTAAAATGTGGCCGCAGTCCTTTATTCATTTGGTAGCCTATCCCAGCATACACTGGAGTTTGAATTTTTTTAAATGTTCTGCCTACAGAATAGTCACTTTAACTTGCAGCACAAACTGTAGGATAAATCAATAGATATACTGGGCTGAGACTGTTGATATTTAATAAATTATAATTATTGTCTCCATTTGTGTCTAGGTCACTTTCTCTGCTGTCTGGGAGGCCCCTGACTAAGTGATATAGGTATTTAATTTGATATTCAAAACTGTGCAATGAACCCAAACAGTGAACTCAGTATCTGCAGAAAGTGTAAAACAAGTGATTTGGATGAATAATGAGCAGATTATTTCCTGTTTAGGGAACTCATTTTTTCTTGTCCATGACGCTTGGATATTGTTCTATGAGACAATCAGCTTTACATTCAACCAAATGCTGAGATATAGGTCTACTGTGTACATTTAAAAAGGCCTCGCAAACCCCCATGAAGTTTTGACAGCCCTTAGTAGTGGTTCCGGCCCCCAGGTTGGGAACCACTGTTCTACTGTATCAGCCAGGGCTGTAGCTACTATTGATGACAGCGAGGTCATGCCCTAACTATTCATAGTTTTCATGTGACGTCACACCCTCATTGGAACGCCCACTTGGAGGGCAAAACAAGGCTTTCTTCTGCTGCTTTCAGTGACTGAAATACTGCAGTGGGTGATGTATGCGGCTGTGGCTCAGAGGCAGAGCGGATTGTCCCCTAATCGGAAGGTTGTTGGTTCGATCCCCGGCTTGTGTCGAAATGTAAAGATACTGAACCCCAAATTGCTCCCGACACCGTGCATCGTTGTGTGAATGTGTATGAGTGAGTTAGTTTCTGTTTGATGGGCTTGGCTTTCTCACTCACTGAGTAAATGTGTGTGAACGGGTGAATGTTGCATGTAGTGTAAAAGCTTGGTTGTTGGCGCTATACAAGTACAGGTCCACCTGCAGCTTGTTACACCAGCTGTGTTCAAGTTCAAACTTAGCCTAGTTATAACATATTTATTTCAAATTGTTTTTATTGATATGTGGAAAGCTACTCATCTAAGGTGGTTGCATCAAATTCACTTGTAAAATATTCTAAAAAATCGCACCAAGTTTTTTTCAACCTATTTACAGAGCCCTGAATTGTGCATCTGATTTTTTCTAGCTTAAGAAACGCCATCACCTCACGGACCCAACGTGAGTGGGATGGAGGTGTGGTCGATTTCCAACCAAAAAGGATAAGTCGGCGGGCTAGTAATGTTGAGAATGCTATGAAGTCTGATAAATAATATCCATAAATAATCCTTTACACACAATTAGGAAATAAGAAAAAGATTGTTGATGCATTAATGTAAGTTAAATGATCTAATTTATTATTTCTTATTAGTATTTTTATTTGTTTGTTTGCAAATATTCAGATTTGTAACATTTTCTTTTCATATTCCTTTTGTATAAAATCATCCACCATCCACCTGTTTGAACCATCCTTACCTACCCATTGAATGAAAAAAATATTGAAACGGATTTCTGGATCCTGTGTTTAAAAATGCGAACCACATCAAATGTTCTGTGTGCCAACGCCACCATCGCAATAGCCTTTTCAACCCTTCCTTCCTCTCGTGTCATAGTCAGAATCTCCTCATCCGGTCCACCTGAACAATTTAAGTTTAGCCCTTTAAAATCGAACCCAATCAGACATCATTCGATGAGGTTTTCTGCATGTTAAGTTGTAAATACAGATATAAAAAACAAAAATACAAAATAAAAACACAAAACAAATTCAAACTAATTTGAAGGAGTTACCAGCCATTGCATTACATGCACAACCGTTGCCATGGTAATTCAAACCCCATGCTTCCTTTCCCAATGACTGTAGGCAATTTCTACAGCTAGATAGCTAGATAGCCTACCGGTCACAGCATCTAAGTGTGCAGCCGTTGTCATAGCAATATGATAAAATATAGAAAAGCAGAATATCCCCACATTAGAGAAAATGGAGCCAGACAATGGTAAATGACAAAAACGGACAAAAACATATTAGCACAATTATACTCAGTGGTGACCAAAAGTGTGATATTTGAATGTACATATTACATGTTCTGTTTGACCTCCTCACTGCTGATTGAGTGACTATTTTTATTCTGAGTGTCTCTGATGAGCTCCGGTCGGCAGTTCAAATCAGCTGCTGCTATGATTAGCTTCTGATTGGTCCTAATGCTGAAATTGCAGTCCTTGTCATTTCCATTGACCACACAAGTAGGCAGTGATTGTGTCAGAGGGAGTGTCGGAGTAAATCAGCAGTTCTCAGAGTGTTGTCTGAGTGTCTGCATGCTGAGTGGGAACCAAAAGCGCTGTGACAGCACATATTTCTTAACCTTCACTAACATGAGCAGGGACATAGTGCCCTCCTCCAGAGAATAAGTGAGGATGTGTGTGTGCCCACAGGTTTATAAGATGGAGGTTTTTATCCATGTATTTGCATGGATTATGCAAGTAGAGGGGTTTAATACCAACCACAAACCAAGTGCCAGTAAATTTCCTGCTGACTTTGTCAATTGTATGACACAAACCAGCAGGTAATCAGAGGCACAGGCTCCCAGCATGCATTGGATAAGGGCACACCAGCACATCGTCTGCTCACTGGGAGCAAACCAGAACATTTGAAGGAAACCCACACAAACACAAGGTGCCAACACAGGAAGTCTAACCAGGACACAGCAAACAATGAGCCACTGTGCTGCTGTCCTCTCGGAGTTGTCTTACTTGACAGCATACAGTGCTTAAAGCATGACTGGTTTAACTCAACCTCCTCCATATTTGAGGTCTATGGTTCCTGGAGAGCAGTGGCTCTATTTTGAAATATACACTTGCCAGACACATTGCATGACCAAGAATCTGTGAAAAAATCAGGTTC